GGCCAGACGGGAGGCAGGACAGCCCCTCTGCCACAGGGCTGCCAGCTGCCAGGGAACTATTGCCTGAGAGAGGGCGAGTGTGTCACCTCCACCTGGGAGAGGGGTGACTTTATCACTACCTGAGAGAGCATGAGTGTGTCACCTCCACCTGAGAGAGAGGTGACTTTATCACTACCTGAGAGAGCACAAGTGTGTCACCTCCACCCCAGAGAGAGGTGACTTTATCACTACCTGAGAGAGCATGAGTGTGTCACCTCCACCTGAGAGAGAGGTGACTTTATCACTACCTGAGAGAGCATGAGTGTGTCACCTCCACCTGAGAGAGAGGTGACTTTATCACTACCTGAGAGAGCACGAGTTTATCTATCACGTCCACCTGGGAGACGGGTGACTTTATCACTACCTGAGAGAGAGTGAGTATGTCACCTCCACCTGAGAGAGTGTGTGTATCTGCACCACCTGGGGGAGGTGTGCCTCCCCTTCCTTCCTTCCTTCTATTCATCGTTTGCCTGTGGCCAGGACGTGATTCACAAGCTGGCCACTGTGGTGCTGTCGGGAAGGTCTGGGGTCACTGTGGGATCACTCCTGCCACTCTGTCCCCCAATGTGGACGGGTCCACTCTTCCCTCCCTTCTCAGATTCCTCCCCTGTGTTGCCCTAGGGTGGCCAGTGAAGCCCTCCTGACCCAGGCTAGAGCAAGCCCACGATCAGAGAACAGCTGGTCTGCCCAGGCAGGCGCAGGCCTTGGGCTTGGCCAGGCCCAGCTGACCTGGGGGCCCCTGGGGGCGCCCCCGCTGTGCAGAGCTGCTGCATCCCAGCCTCTCTCCCTGCAGAGAGGGAGCAAGGTCAGTGCCCGCCCAGCTGAAGGACGGCAGGAAATGGCCGGCTGGCCCTCTGTGAGGGTGAAGGAGCTTAGTGCAGGGCTATTTACCTAGTGCGGGGCAGGCAGGGAAATCAGTAGTAGGTGCTGCTAGGCCTCTGCGCCTCCACATCTCAACCCCAGCGATGGGGACAGGGCTGATGGCGTGGTGGGAGAAGGCGGCCTGCAGGAGCCCGCAGAGCCCAGGCTGGGCAGGAGCCGACAGGAGACCCCCCCTGCACCCCTCGCCCTGCACCCCCGAGCTGGCTCCCTCCCACCCCACAGCAGGGCGGGGAAGGTGCAGGAGCCACGGTGGGGTGGCCCCGCGGGCAACACCGGGCCAGATGCCGGGGCCAGTGTGGGCAGATCTGGGTGCTTCTCCAGCAAGGGCCTCGGCGAGCAGTGTGCCAGCCAGACGCGTCACTTGTCCCTGCCTTGGGGACTCTGGAAAAGCTGACCACATCGATAATTACAGAAGCCGGGCATGGCAAGACCTCATGGCATCGCTGACTTCATCTTCCTGTCAGGGCAAGAGGAGGTCTCCGGGGAGAAGGAGGTGACAGCTAAAGTTAGTCCAAGGCCAAGAGGAGCTCAGCCCAGACTCTGCTCTCTAAACCAGCGCCGGCTTCTTTGAAAATGTGGCAGGTTCTAGAAATCATCTGAGGGAAATGTGTTTTAATAGCCAGGACATATTTTCACTGGCATTTTCTGAGATTAACGACGCAACGAGAGCAGGCCAAGAGAATGAAATATTAGGTTTATAAACGGAGATGTACATAGATGTTTATACTCTTTGGCAGGCACCGATACATGAATAATTCTTTGTTTCTTAAGCTCCACGTAGTAGTTTGCTCTTTGTGTTCGAGCAGTATCTCTCCCCAAAGGCCCTCCCAGTGCGTGGCATAAATCACAATGCAGAGAGAAGGCTCCTTGACTGGGGCCTGCCTGGGTGGCACCTGGAGTGTATCTGGGAGGAGTGGACTGGCCTGGGTGCTCCCTGGCTGCTAGCGCTGAGCTCAGGGCAGGGACGGGTTCCCCGGGGCAGAGCAGCAGGCAGGACCATGTCAGTCCCCTCTGTGGTGGGGGGCAGGGAAGAGGCCTACGCCCTCCCTGGTCACCTCGTGCAGGTGGAGTTACAGGGACGGTCCCTGTGCGTAGTTTACCTCTCTTCATTGAAGTCATTATCTCGGTACCATCTCCCGAATCAAATCCAGTTGTCAGATTCCAGGTTGTTGGCACGAACTCTTATTTGCAGCTTGTGTTTTCTGGTTTGAGCTGGTTGACGCTTTTGTCTCGCTGCCTGGGCAAGGGTGTTCCCGGAGCAGTGGTGTCTGGGTCGCCAGCCTGGACGAGTGGGACCCGCCTGGTGTGCTGCCCACGCAGCCCAGTGCCTCGGGGCCCTCGCTAGGTGGCTCCTCAGGACTCGCCCCCCACCAGCCCCGGCCCCTCGTGGGGTCACCGTGGAGACAGGGCCTGTCACTCCCGGCGACTTAATCAGCGCGGGAAGGCGGGCTGGAGGCCTTCCATCGGTTTCCCGCCTCCCAACGCAAACGTTCTCCGAGCAGTGGCCTGGCGTGGACTCCTCAGAGAAAGGCCCTTTGATCCTGGCCGGGGAGGCCTGTCCCCGCGTGCTCCCGGCGGCCTCCCTGTGGACCCCGCGCCCATCCGCCGCCGGGCCTCTGCCGGGAGGCAGCTGACCTGAAAGGGGTGTTATTTTTTTAACGTGGGTTTTAGCAGCGAGAACAAGAATATTTTCAGCCTGGTTATTGAGGCTGATTAGTGGGCCCCAGACCTCCATTAGGTTAAATAGAGCCGCCTTCACGGGTGTATTTTGGGACAGTGCAGATCCAGTGTTCTGCATGGGATTGAGTTACCCCAAACGGCGGTCGGCCATGTGCCCAGCGCCCGGGCCCTGAGAAGCAGCCTGGCTGCGTCCCCGTGGTGCCAGACCACGAGGCGGGGTGTCAGGGGCAGCGGGACACTGGGCGCTTCTCTCCTCACCCTGGAAAAGGGCAGGCTGCTGGCCCTGGAGCGCTCGGCCCCTGCAGAGACTCCACTTGCCAGCTGTGCTGTGTTTTCCCCAGTTATCTGGCCTCTCGGGGCCTCAGTTTTTTCATCTGCAAATTGGGAAGAATAATACTTGCCATGTAGGACGAGCCTGTAATCACCGCTCCATATAGGGGGTGTATGTGCAGGAGCGTGTGTGTGTCAGTTGTAGAGGCTTGTCAGGGAACTAGGAGGGAGAAAATAACAGGAAAAGGTCAAGAAGAAAGAGCCACCTTCTCCCCTCAAAGCATCTCAAAAGCCCCATCAGTCAAATCAAATCGTTTAGGGACCCTCAGTCCCTCAAGGCCCATGTTGATGGTGGGGAGGAATTGGCCCCCGGGGGGAGAGGCTCCGACCGGGTGGCCCCGTGGGAGTCGGAGGCTGATGCGCCAGTCCTGGCCCTGTTGGTGCCAATAGCTGTGACTATTGGGCAGGTCCTCTGCTTCTCTGAGCCTCGGTGTTCAGCCCCTAAAATGAGGGGTTGGATTCCTTCCAGAACCACCATCCCGTAGCCCTGGGATCCAAATGATTGTAGTTCATGTTTCTCCCTTGGAGAAAATGGTTGGATCTTGGCTGTCCATTAGAAGAGACAGCAAGACCAGGAAGCTCGCTCACTTAGGATGGAAACTGCACCTCTGTGGACGTTGTGGGCACCACCTGTGCCCCCCTTTGTCTGGGCTTCCCTGGGAGGACTCGAACCCCAGACACTGAGCCATGGGGTTTCCTCGGACGCGGCGAGGGGCCGGGTGTCTCTGCACAGCAGGGTGCTGAGGAGGAGTTTGTGTCCGTCTGTGCTGGTGTCATTTCCTCTGTCTCTTTTGAAAGAGCTGTACTTTTGGGCTGTGGCTGACAGATCCTTGGTGGTAGATTTTGAAATGGTTATAAACAATTTGCAATTAGTTCCTTTGTCTAAATGAGAGAGGCAAACTTACTCAGACTTCTTGTTAACTCAAGGCCTTTCATCCGCTTGGCAAGTGTGTCGGGTGTGAGTGAAGGAGCCCCTCTTGGGTCTGGGTTTTGGAGGCCTCACTTCGTCAGAGCTCGGGCCCCGCTGGCTTGGCTGGCTATCTGGAGGCCTAAGTTCCTTGGTGGTGTTGAGAAGCAGCTCTGGGTTTGGAGGTTCTAGTCCCAGCCCTGCCACCTCCAGCCGCTCGACCCTGGGCAAGTCCCTTTCCACTGTGGGTGGGACAGCACCCCCTGTCCTCATGCGTCACTACACTGGTTCTTTTGAGGTAAAGATGAGAACATCTAAAAAATCTTTGTATGTTCACTTGAAAACCAAAGGTATGCGTGTTATTATTTACCCTTGCAAGGTGTCATATCACAGTGGTGGTGATTATTGAGTGCTTATAAAATGCCGGGCACTGCCTGGAGGGGTAAAGAACCTGTGGCTTTCTGAGTTCAAGTTTCTTCTTTTTTAAGCACCAAAGGAGGCAAGAAAAGCTTCATCTTTCTCCCTGCACCCCTTTTAATAAAAGGATTTGTTCTGCAAAATTTAGATTCAGTCCAAAGGCTGCACTTAAGGACTAGAAGGTCACATTTCGCCTTAAGACCACAGGTTCCCACCCCTGGGAGTTTATCGCTTCTGCCTGTATAGTCACCCCATACGTAGGAGCTGGTCCCATCCGAGCTTTATAGAGAAGTTAAGCAACTTGCCTAAGGTCACGCAGCTTGCAAGGTCTGAGTGACGTAAGGCCTTCCAGTTTGGTGGCCTGTTATTTTCCAGTGGTTTCTTTTGATTCATCTACGTTGGTGGTCCTCAACCCCAGCTTCCCCGATGCTGGTCCTCATGGCCCGCTGGGCAGGTCCGAGCATCAGCGTTTGCTCGGTGCTCCCGGGTGATTCTGACGTGCCGCCGCGTGCAGAGCCGCTGTCTCAAGAACCAGCGTCCATGGGGGAGTGCAGAGAAGCTTGGGCTGGACATCTGGGCTCCTTGGCCAGGTCTTCTCCCCTCTCTGGGCCTCAGTTTCCTGCCATGTAGAGGGAAGGGATTGGTCAGGTGGCCTCTAGGGGGGGTCTCTCCAGGACCTCTCAGGTTATATAACTATGAGGATCTCATGAGCAAACCTATTGTTATTTTTTTTCTCCTGTTCTAGGCAGAATATGAAGTTACTCCAGATGAAAAACTGAGAGAAAAGGGGAAGGAAATCATGACCAGGTTCTTCACCCCAAAGGTAAGAGGCCTTGTGAGCCCCATGGCAGGAGGAACAGGAGGCCTTATGCAGGAGTGTGAACCCCTGGGTCCACGCCAGGCCATGCAGGGAGCTCAGTGCCAGGCTGGTGGCTGCAGTGGTCTCCTGAGATGCATAATTCTCATCTTTCCCCAGAGAGTGCACAAGCCTGGCAGGGCCAACAGGTGGATGGTCCAGGCCAGGCCTGGGGTCAGGGGCAAGAAGCCTGCTTCTTGGAGCCTAGCCCCCTTCAAGGGTCCCCATACTGCCCACTGTCCACACCCAAGCATTTGTGGCCGGATAGATGGAGGCCTGGCCAAGGTAGGGATGGGAAGTGCCCAGAAGAAAGGGCTCAGCAGGGCGGTTCTGAGAGGCTGGCATGGAGGGGAAGATCAAGGGTGAGGAGGAGGGAAAGGGTGGCCCAGCTGCACTGGCAGAGCATGCTACTGAGACTGAGGCAGTCCGTGGAGCACATCAAAGAACGTGGGGAAGTCTGAAGTCCATTCTGGAGTACACTGCAGGGTAGGGGCCACCCTGACCCCACCTCAGGGGCACCCACCTGATGGTTGAAGGAACAGGGGTTGCAGCAACCTTGGGTCTCCGAGACCCGTTTCCTCTTAACTCACCTTGACAGAGAAATCTGTTCTCGACCCATTTGGTATTCTAGTCCCAGCTATTCTACATACTTGGTCAAGCCATGTTCTCTCACTGGGTCTCAGTTTCCCTTTCTTAAAAGTGGCCTCACTGCCAGACCCTCCTCTTGGAGGCGTTGAGTCTGAGATGAGACCCGCATGTGAGCAGCTCTGCGCGTGTCCTGCACCCCTGGGGCCAGTGGTGGCCCCATCCTGCTCAGGACTCCAACACTGTGGGCTCCTCCTGGTGGCTGTCCCACGCTGCCGGTGGGCAGAGGTCACCACAGCCTGTGGGATGGAGTCCCAGACGTCAGTCCCACCACTCCCGCACCTCCTGGGCCATTCAGCCCTGTCCTCAAGCAGCTGCATTCCTCTGCGTCTGCAGTTGGCTGGTGGCCACGCCCCTTGCAGGCAGAGCTCGGCCTCACCCAGAAGCGTTGCTCTTTGTCGCATCCTGCTCCGCACGGCCTGCTGGACGCCTTCACCAGAGCACACACGACACCTGCCATCACCTCGCTGCTTCCCCTTGCCGCTCCTCCACTTCTGCTTCCGTCGTAATCACACGCCTCTCTGTATGTGACCCGCACAACCCCCCGGTCCTTTTGCACGTTTCACAAATGACAGGATGAATGGTCAAAACACCTCCAGACGCAGACCAGGACCTGCTCACTCTGGGCGAGGCGTGGCGCTGGGCACGCATGTCTGTCCCCTGCCCTGGAGCAGCGCTGCCCTGCTGCCTTCCAGATACGGCCTGTTGGTGTCTGTGACGTCGGAGCATGCACAATCTCTGTTCACCCGCAGTCACAGCCAGTGGCCTATCGATGGGGCTGTAGGTGGATGTATTGTTTTCTCTCTGGCCACCACTCAAAACGGTGTGAGCACCCTAGTCATAAGCTGGCCCACCTTGGCCAGGCCCCCACCCGTCCTGCCACTAACGCTTGGGTGTGGACGGTGGGCAGAGGGGCGTACGTGCCCAGAGGGCAGGAGGATCACAGCTCCCTGGCTGAGCTCCCGCGGTGGGCCAGGCACCTCCAGACGTCCTCTCTGGTGGTCCCAGCGTCCACAAGAGAGAGCCAGTTTAGGCCAGGCTGCTGCGGCCCGCAGGAGTGGGTCACCTGCGAGGGCTTCGTCCCGCTGTGGCTCACTCGGCCGGGGCCAGCGCTCCTTCCACGCCCCCTTTGGCGCTGCCCTCTCTCACACGCGTGTCCCTCCGAACCATGGCAACTGGCGTGTACTGAGGACCCGTCGTGTCGGGCGCACCTGCCGCTGCTGTCACCGCAGGACGCGGATTCCACTGGCTCCGTCTCACAGATGAGGAAGGGGAGGCTCGACTGTGAGCTGTCACATCTCAGGCCACAGAGCTAGAAAGTGGCAGAGCCGGGATTCGAACCCCAGTCTGGATGATTCAAGCCCTGGGTATGTCCCCTGGGGGGCGGTCTTCCCTGCCCCACCCTTCCCTGCCCTCCGCCGGCTGCCAGCCTGGCTGTCACCTGCAGTGAGGGTGCCGACGTGCCCGACCCCGCTGTCTGGGTGGGCTCTCTGGGCTGCCGCCGGGGGCAGCTTCCCTCTCTCACCCCTGTGGCCAGCCTCGTCCGGAAGCCTCTGCCGGCAGACCCTGCGCTGGGCCTCCGGGCCTCCCTCCTCTGCTCGGCGCTGCCTCCGTCTCCTGGGGGGATGGGGCCCAGACTCCCCATCGGCTCACACGGTTTTACAAGTGCCTCGGAGCTTGCCAACATTTTTTCCTTAAGTACTCCTCAATTTTTAAATTTTAAGGCACACCATATGTTACGGCCCAGGGCCCTGGGGGAGGTGGTGGGCCTGTGCCCTGGGTCAGCTGTTTCCTACGGAAGCTCCGCACGGCCTCCCTGCCCTCCCATAGCAGCTCGCTCAGGAGCCAGTCTCGCTCGGCGCTGCAGGTGCCCGGTGCCGGGAGCCAGGCCCGGGCGAGGAGCTGAGCTAGCAGCTGAGGTCCCGGCATCGGCTCTGAGCCCTTTAACAACCCCCAGAGCCACTGTCCCCAAACCCAGACCGTCCTTGCCTTGGGGTCCTCTTTAGTGTACAGCTCGTGTGTCTCAGCTCTGGACGGTGTTTTGCAAAGGACAGGCCGTGGGACACGGGTCAGTGAGAAGCTCTATAAAAAAGGCCTCCCTGGTCAACTACGTGTGGGCGACACTGCGTGACGCGTCTCCATGCTAAGAGTCGCCCGGCATTGAGCACATCAGAGGCTCTGAGAAGTCTCCTCAATCCCTCGCCCGAAGCCTCCGTCCCAAGAGGCAAAGCGCACACCTGACACGCTGCCCCTGATCCTGCACCCCCTGTCTACACAGGGCCAGCCCTGCTGTGGGGGTGTCACAGATGCCAGCCAAGGGGGGCTCTGGAAGGGGTCGAGAGCTGCAGAGAGCGCACGGAAAGGCAGCTTAGCGGAGGGCCGCGAGGAGAAGGTGACTTTAGCATCAGGGAGACCCGGTTCAAAGCCAGGTGCGGCTTCTTTTCGCTGCATGGCCTTGAGAAGGTCGCTTCAGCTCTCAGTGCCTCAGGCGCCTCACCTGCCAAGCGGGAGGTGGTGGCGAGGATCACAGGTAAAGCCAGCAAGGACGCAGCTCGGTGGCTGGTGCGCACTGGACACCGGGTCAGCGGTGGCCGTCACCTGCCCTTCCCTGTGCATCCGCAGTCAGGTGTCGAATGAGGGGGTCGTGCAGACATGGCCTTCCCAGCTGGGGAGCTGCGAGGGGCCAAGAGGGGGCCCGGGGCCGCCAGCCTCGAGGGCCGGGCGAGGGGGCCGGACTCATGCAAAGGCAGAGTGTCCGTCAGGGTGACTGATGCTAGCTGCCACCACAGACGAGCCCCACATCTCAGGGGCTTCCCACAACAGAGCTCTCTTTCTTTCCCGTCATGATCTGATTGGGCCATCAGCGCTTCTGGGTCCTTCTCCACGGGTGACTCGGGGATGCTGGCTGCGTTTGCGGCTCCACCGTCTGAACATGTCGTCTCGTGGTCACCACCAGGGGAAGGGAGGGATGAAGGAGGGACACGAGCCTTAACTGCCTTCACCCGGAAGCGATGTGTGGCACTTCGTCTCGCAGTGCGTTGGCCTGGACGAAGGTGGGGAAGTGGAGAAGCGTGTGGAATACTGGGGAGGGCGGGCACCCCAGTACCGCGTCCTCCCTGCATGCTCACCCCTCAACCCCCGGGAGGAACCGCGTCGGTGCGCGGGCCAGTCTCCGGTGCAGGGCAGGCAGCCCTGGGTATCGCAGGTGTGTCAGCTCAGGGGAGCTGGGACGGCTCCACAGTCACGTGGGACGGGTAGAGACCCGGGCAGCTCCCCCTCCAGTTACCTGCAGACCAGAGGTGGCACAGGTGACAGGTGTTCAGGGGAGGGCCACCGTGAGCTGGAGTGGACCAGGAAATTCTTAATTATAATAATAAGTAATAATGCAGACAGTGTGTATCATCCATCACTATGGACTTCAGTTTTTAAAATACCAGCTTTATTGCAATCTAATTGTCATACCACAGAACTCACCTTTTTGAAGTGTGTAAGTCAGTGGTTTTTTAAAATATGCAAAGTCATGTAACCGTCACCAGTGTCTGATTTGGGGGCATTTTAGCACCCCAGGAAGAAGCTGTCATACCTGTTAGCAGTCACTCCCTAGTCCCCTGTCCTCCTAGTCCCTGGCAACCTCTAGCCTTCTTTCTGTCTCCAGGTCTGTTTTAGACATTTCATATAAATGGAATATCACATAATCTGTGGCCTTCTGTGACTAGCTTCTTTCACAGCATGATGTTTTCAGAGTTCGTCCACAGTCAACCTGGGTCACACTTCATTCCTTTTCATGGCTGAGTAATGTTCCACTGTACGGATGTGCCACACTGTATACATCTGCTCATCAGCTGGGACACGTGGGTGCTCCTGCTTTTGGGCTATTATGAACAACGCTGCCATGAACATTCACGTACAAGTTTTTGTGTAGTCGCATATTTTCATTTTATACTTAGGAGTGGAATCGTTGGGTCATATGGTTTAAACTCTGTGTTTAAACTTTTGAGGAGCTGCCAGGCTGTTTCTCCAAGCACCACACATTTTTAAATTCCCACCAGCAGAGTCTGAAGGTTCCAATTTCTCCACATTCTCATCAATACTTGTTATTTTCTATCTTTTTAATTTTACCCATGCTAGTGGGTGTGAAATGGTATCTTGGGATGATTTTGATTTGCAATTCCATAATGCCTAATAATGTTGAACATCTTTTCATGTGCTTATTGGCCATTTGTACATCTTCTTTGGGAGATGTCTATTTAAATCTTTTGCCCATTTTTAAATTGGGTTGTTTGTCTTTTTAATATTGAGTTGTGAGGGTTCTTTATGCAAGT